AGCACATCTGGGGTCATGATTGAGACCAGGCAGCCATATCTCTTCCAGTAGTACCCTGCAGTGCCAGCAGGTGGCGGCCCCAGCCTCTGGAGGGCACAGGAGCAGCAGAGGAAAGGCGCTGGCAAGGGAGAGGGGTCTGGAAAGCAAAAATACCTCACAGGAACCCCAGCACCCACCTGTGAGCCTCACATCTGGCCCCTGGAGGTGGGCAGGGCAGGAATTACCATGCTGCTTCCACCTCGGGAACAGCTCAGAGAGGGAGAGTCCCTTGCCCAAGGTCACAGAGTGAGGACTGGCCCCCAGTCACAGCCCTTGGGTGCTGGCCCTGGTACCCACCAGCTTCTGTTAAGCAAACGACTTCCAACAGAAAGCTGAGCCCAGAACTTTTTCTCTTCCAGGACCATAAACCCGATTTAAAAACCAAGTTATCACCAAGATCTTTATGAGGCCTTTTCTCTGTGCCCCACCCCAGGAGGCCCTGGTTGGGTGTGTGAGAGCAGCCCAGAGGGAGGACTTCCAGAGGGAAGAGGGGCCACCAGGGGAGCCAGAGGGAAGGAGGGGTCCAATAAACAGCCGCTCCCAGAGATAAGGGGCTGTCAGAGGAAGAGGCTGCAACTTGGTGGTCGGAGGCTTCTCCACACACAAGGTTACAGCTCCATGCCGCACCACTGTCTGAGGCAACCAGTCCCCAGTGGGCACGCGGGGACACTGAGGCCCAGGGAGGCAAAGGCTCAAGGTCACATGGCGTGTCAGAGGCCAAGGTGGGGCAGGACCTATGATTTCAGACACCCACGCTAGGACTTTTAAACAAGGTTACAGTGTCCTTGGGAGGGGGAAGCTGGGAGTGTCACATCAGGGCTGGCTCAGGTCTCTGACTGGGGGTCCACCTAGGGGTGCGGGTGAGGGGAGAGCTAGGCTCTTTTGCATGAAGAAGCCAGAGGAGGAAGAGGAACCAGGTATTTGCTTAAGCAAAACCCCAGGGTGGGGGGAGAGGCACACACAGGCTCACTATCCTCCCAGGCTGGCTCAGATGGAGAGGAAAGGAAAACTTCCAGATAGGCCACTGCCTTGCTGTGTGGCCTCAGACAGGTGACTTCACTTCTCTGAGCTCCAGCTGCTTCATCTGCAAAATGCCTCACTGAGGATGAACTGAAACAATTCATGCAAATGACTTGGCATGATGCCTGGCACTTAGTAAATGCTCAGTAAATAGTAGTGCTATTGTTGTTATTACTCCAGCACCAGGTGAAGGGCCAAACCCTGCAATCTCAGAGAGAGGCAGTGAAAGGGCACTGAGCTGGGAGTCAGAAGACCTGGGTCTATTTCCTGTACAGCACTGACCTGCTGTGGAAGTTGGCCAAAATCCTTTCTTTCTTTAGACTTCTGGGCCTCAGTTGCCCTATCTGTAAAATGAGTGGGCTGGCTCCCTAAGGGTCTTCCAAGGTCAGGATGCTATGACAGCTACGATGCCCCTGCTCTCCTACCCTAGGGAGGCCAGGGGTGATGTCTGGAGGATCGCAGGGTTGGGCTGAGGACCCCTCTGCCACTCTGGCTGGGCAGTGAAAAGGACCAGTGGAGTCAGGAGACCCAGCTTCTGTGCCCAGCCCTGTGCCTGTGTGACCTTGGCCAGACACCTGGACCTCTCTGTGCTTCCTTTCCTCATCCAGCAAATGGGGCCAGTTTGCCCCACCCTTCCCAATACCTAGGGCTCAGGAAAGAGCAGGCCTAAGGGGGCAGATAGAGGCCCACCCCAGGATGTGTCTGTGGAGTGGGAGGCATGTCTCCAGACTCCACCCTGGGAGAGAACAGCACTGAGGGGCCCACAGAGCAGCTGGGATGGCTCCCCTAAGTCTGAGGGCTCCCTGGTGCTGCTCTCTCCCTGATCAGAGAAATATGCTTTGCCTGGAAAGTCCCCCATCTCTCAGCCACCACCCAAGTCCCGTCTGTCTTCATCACTCCTGGACCCCTGCCCAGCTTCCTTGCTGCTCTCGGGCTCCCCGCCTCTCCTCTGGCTCATTTCTACACACTAGCCACAGCCGTCTTCCTAGCCCCCCCCCCCCCCCCCACTGAAAACCCTTGATAACTTCCCACACTCCTCATCAGACCTGGCCCACAGGGCCTTACTCCCCGCCCCACCAGACTGGTCTCCTGCCCCCATCACTGAGCTCCAACTCGTCTTTCAGTTCTAGGGGACCACGTGTCCCCTTGGGCCTCAACACCTCTGTTCACACTGGCCCTTTGCCCACAATGTCCTTCCCCGCTCCCAGGGGCCTTGACTCATGCGTCACTTCCTTTGGCAAGACTCCTGTGTCTCCTCCCTTTGGGTCAAATCTCCTGATTCCTGGCCTTCACCAAGATGTAATTTTACCTTTATTTGTGATTATTTGATTCAAACCTGCTTCTCCCCCACACCAGCCTGTAAGCTCCCCAAGGGCAAGGCCTCACCCAGTACCTGACACAGCACAAAGGAGGAGTGATAACGCGTATTTGTCAAATGAATGCACACAGGAACGAACGAATTCTTACACCTATTCCGACCTTTAAGCCATCCATCTAGGTCTGATTTAGCATATTTTTGGAATTAGAGGGCACCAACTGCCCCCCACCCCCCAGGATAGGCATGTTTTTTGCAGCATCCCTAACCAGGGACCTCCAGCAGTCACTTGCATACCTCCTGTGATGGTGAGCTCACCCTCTATTTCATGACAGCCCATTTCATGATGGATGGCCCTTTAGAGAGCACTTTATTATGAACGGGTTGAAATCTACGTCTGTGCCTGTAGCTTTCTCTCTCAGGTCCCAGGTCTGCCCTGTCCCCCTCTCCAAACTCAGATCTTGAAGCCTCACTCCAGCTCCTCTCTTCCAATCTGAGCAGCCCCAGTTATGTCAGCTCAGAGTGTAGAGTCCAGTCCTGTTGGGCCTCTTCTCCCTTCTCTGTATACTGCCAGTTTCTCACTGACCCCTTGAAAGACTGGGTCCTGAGTGGAACCCAGCACTCCAGATGACTTCTACGCAAAATTTCACCAACACGTTCATCTCCTGACCTGGGAAAGGGGGCCTTCCCTGCCGAGGCATCCACACGCTCATCCATGTCAGCAGCAAGGCAGGGAGCCCGTTTTCCCCTCTCACACCAGCAGCCTTCATTTTGCTGCATAAACTTGGCCCCTTTTCTTTCTGGGCCTGAATGCTTCTGCCTGTACAATGGAAAGAGTCCTCTGAGCAGGAAGGGGAGCCCTGGGCTTACTGGCCTGTATTCTGTTATAGTATCCATCCGAACCCTAGAAGAGCAAGAATCTGACCAGGGCCACCTTCATGGGCAGGTCACCTGTGCAGTCACACAGGGCCCAGTGTTTAGATGGGCCCCACGCTGGGTTGAATGCTCTGCTGTCGCCATTTTGAAATTCTTAATAATTCTTGAAAAAGGGATCTCACATTGTCATTTTGCACTGCGCCCTGTAAACTGTGTCCTGATCCTGACACATCCATCTAGCCCTGAGATGATGCTGATCTGCCCTGGCTAATGTGACCCAAGGGAGGCACAGGTTGAATAGAGAAGACCCCGATTTTGCCCACTTTCTGGGGGCCACATGTCCTTGCACATTTAGGGGGCTCCCAGGAAATGTTGGAGGATCAAACCCCATTGGGGGCTTCTGTGCAGCTCTTTGACACTGAACCCCGCTGGGGTGAGGGAACCTGTCTCCCCCAGGCTTCCTAGCCCAGGGCCCTGCCCTTGATGAATCCTCTGCCAAATCCCTCAACCTTGCTCCCCACTCCCAGTTCACTGATGGCTCCTCAACTGTTTCACCCACACACACACTTGGGTAGCTGTGAAATGTCTGCCAGTCTTTAATTGGGGGGACAGGGGGACATGCATGATCCATTTAAAATACCAAAGGGGGCCCCAGCTATAATAAATAGATCAGGGCTTTTAGATCCTGCTTCACACAAACCAACTGATAAAAAGACACTTTTGAATCAACTGGAGTATTTTGCATATGAACTGGGTGTTAGATAATACCCAGAAATTTGTGTTAATTTTGTTAGATGTGATAATGGCATATTATGTAAGAAAATGATCATGTGTTTTAGAGCTGCATGCTGAAGTATGTAGGGGTAAAATGACATGATGTTTGAAATTTGTTTTAAAATACTTTAGCAAAAAAAGGAGGGGAGTAGATGAAACAGTGTGACAAAATCTTGATAATGGTTGAAGCTGGGTGATGGGTATACAGCGGTTCACTATACAATTCTACTTTTGAAACCTCTCATTAAAATCAAGGGGAATTAGGGGGTCATCAGGAGAGCTGTGAAAAGTTCCCTAGAATGTCCCCAAAAGATGTCCCTAGGTCACCTTTTTAAGAACTTTCTCTCCAGACCCAACTCAGGCAAACTCCCCAATTGTATGCAGACTCGTGTTATGTGCATATGTGCATTTTCACCGGTGGGAACATCCACAGCTTTCATCGGAGACTGAGGGGTCGTGACCCCTCCCCCCAAAAGATTAAGGACCCGCTACCTTACAGACGGAGCCCTGTTTGAAGTCAGGTTGCCCCCCTCATCTCAAGTTGGTCACTGAGGAGTGCACCACAGGCCCGGTGTGGCTGTGACGCTGGCCTGGGGTCCCCCCGCCGCCCCTCGGATCCTTTTTCTCCACCTGTAAAGCGGGGTCGCGGGGCGGTCCACGCGGGCACGGGGAGGACGCGGTGTTCCGGCCGCTAGGCCGCCGGCCTTTCCGGAGCCTCCCCACCTGGCAAAGCCTCGACGCTCGCCCAGGACGCGCCTCCGCACGCACCCCCTCCAGGCCCCGGCCCGTCCACCTCCCGCTTGGGGCGGCAATTTGTCTCCTTTTGAACCCCCCGCCCCCGACGGGTTTCCCCCTTTGATTCGCGGCCCGGAGGCTCCCCCCGCTTTGAAATGCAAACCCGCCTGCGCTGGGGCCGCGGGCGGCCCGGGGCTATAAAAGGCCTGGGTGGGGCGGCCGGCGGCCGGGCCGGCGAGTTCAGGTGAGCTGTTGCTCGTCGGGGCGGCCGGCAGCGGCGGCTCCGGGGCCCAGCATGCGCGGGGGGCCCCGCGGCCACCATGTACGTGGGCTATGTGCTGGACAAGGATTCTCCCGTGTACCCCGGCCCCGCCAGGCCCGCGAGTCTCGGCCTGGGCCCGCAAGCCTACGGCCCCCCGCCTCCGCCCCCCGGCCCCCCGCAGTACCCCGACTTCACCGGCTACTCTCACGTGGAGCCGGCCCCCGCGCCCCCTGCGGCCTGGAGCGCGCCTTTCCCCGCGCCCAAGGACGACTGGGCCGCAGCCTATGGCCCGGGCCCCGCGGCCCCCGCCGCCAGCCCAGCCCCGCTGGCATTCGGGCCCCCTCCGGACTTCAGCCCGGTGCCCGCGCCCCCTGGGCCTGGCCCGGGCCTCCTGGCGCAGCCCCTCGGCGGCCCGGGCGCACCGTCCTCGCCCGGAGCGCAAAGGCGGACGCCCTACGAGTGGATGCGGCGCAGCGTGGCGGCCGGAGGCGGCGGTGGCAGTGGTAAGGACCCCTTTCTCGCCCTGCGCCTCCGGACGGTTCCCCTGGGCGCCGGCAGGTGCTAGGGCAAGGCCCGGGCCGCCCCCTGTCTGACCTCTGCCCTGGCCCTGCTCGGGTTCCGGGAGTGTGGCCTCCCTTACCACTCTCGCCCTGGGAGGCTGTTCTCTCAGCTTTCCCCTTCTGAATCCCAGCCTGCGGGAGCCTCAGTAAGCACAGCCCGTCTATCCATATAGACGAGGAAACTGAGACCCGAAGAAGTGAAGAAACGCGCCTTGTTGCGTGGCAAGGCCCGAACTAGAACGCAGATCCGCAGACTTTTATCCCAGGGCTCTTTTAGCAACCCTGGTTCCGGTCGCTCGCTATCCGTTTCTTCCACCCCAACCCAGCCCCTAGCAGAGGCTGCAAACCCACCCCACAAGGGACGATGCGTGATTGTGTGAACACGAGCAGGTCGCTTTCCTTTCCAAGTCTCAGTGCCCCCGTCTGGACGGTGAAGAAGAGGTTGATGGGTCCATATCCTTTGGACTGAGAAAGAGCCCTCTTTGGTTAGATGGGGGGGGGGGGTTCCCTACCTTACCGTCCCAGGGCCCTCCCTGAACTCTTGACCCTGGGGGAGGGGAGAGCAGGAGCAGTTGGGAAGGTGGCTGCTGTTTGGCCCGGAGCCTGTGAACCTCCTGCCCCCAGGCAGGCCTCTCTGATCCACCCTCTTCAAAGGCAGGGGAGGGGGCAGGACAAAAGCCCAGCTTTAATGAGGGGCGGCCTGACCTCCTTTATAGGTCCCCCCTTTGTCATGTAACAGGCTGCACCTCGGCTCGGTAGTGACTCCTGTTGGCCGGAAAGTGAACAGGATACCCCATTGTCCCGACTGTGTCGGGCCTGTCCTGACAAAGGCCACCTGGCCTTGGGGGCGGGAAGTTGGCCTGCCCACCCTTTGATGTCCAGCCCCTCCTCCCCTTCCCCCAGCTGGGAGCGAGCCTGAGACTTCCCCCACCTCCTCTCTCTCTTCACCCCCATGTCCCCACACATGCCCAGCTCACCCCAGGGAGAGATGCTGTGGAGGGTTGATCAGTAGTCACAGGTCTGGCTGTAAACCGACCACCGTCTTGGGAGTCCCAGCGTCACAAGACCTCCAGTCTGCTTCCAGAAGCCTCAAAAGACTGGGGTTTATGCCCCAGCTCTGCCCCTCGTTCCTGTGGCCTTGGCTAAATAATAGCAGCTAACGTTTATGGAACACTTACTAATGGACCAGGCACTGACCTAAGACCTTGCGTGTATCAACTCACTTAATTCTTGTAGCATTAGCGTAGGTACTATTATCACCCCCATTTTTAAGATGCAGAAACTATGGCATAGAGAGGTGAAATACTTGCGCGAGAAGGTATAACCAGTAAACTGTGGGGCTGGGATGTGAGCCCTGGCAGATTGACCCCCAAGCCTGTGCTGTAACCCTCTAGACAGTGTCTCTGAAATCAGGCGTCTTTTCTGGGTCTCAGTTTTACCATCTGTGACATGAGAGGGAAGGGTCTTGTAAGCTTTGTTTGAGTTACAAAAGGACTTTTTTGACAAATCTGGTGAAAAGTACAACTCTTCTCCCTAGAAAAAAGCGTTGCCTAGGGCGGCAGACCATTTCAGGGGTTCTAGAGGCCCCCAGAAGCTTTATCCATAAACCCTACCTGAGATGATGTGAGAGGAGTTGTCTGGGGCGGCGGTTCTGTGTCTGTTCCCGGCTTTTCCTGCTACTCTATTCCAGGTGTTGCTTCCTGCTTATCAGGCGACTTTGGAGATGGAGGGGAGATTCCCCAGGAGTGGGGACTGGCAGAGAGGCCATCACTGTGTGAGGGGCAGAGGGCGGACCCGCGGGGCTCAGAGGACTGGCGGGAGGGCTGGGGGAGCTTCCAGGCTGTGTGATGTCAGACAAATCGCCTTTCCTCTCTGGGCACAGGAGCTATGAGCCCAGCTCAGCCTCTGGTCTAGAAAGTCATTCGGAAACTGTTGTCTCCTGGCAGGTAGGGGGCCTAGGAGTAACTCTGCCTTCCCCCTTTACTCCCAGAAAGTAGAAGGAAGGGCCAAGGGAGGTTTGGGGGCTCCCGAGGAAAGTGGCTGCCCCAGGAGGCAGGTCAGACCCATTCTGCCGGGACACAGGAGCCTTGGCCTTCTGGAAGCTAGACGCTGCTGCCTGTCTGCCCAGGGGGCATCTGACCCTGACCAGTGCTTTTGAGATGGGGACAGAATTGGGGTGTAGTTACAGACCCTCCCTGAGAGAGAGGCCAAGCCCCTCCCCACTTTGGCCTCAGTTTCTCCTTCTGGGCAATGAAGATCCAGGGTCTCCAGGAGTGTTTTCGTGTAATGCTGTTGTCTGGGATGGCAGAGGGAAGGTCACTGCGTGCCGTCCACCCCCCAGCAAGTGTCGCTGGCCACCAGGTCTTATGGTACCCTTCTTCCATAGAAGAAGTATGCCAGCACCTTCTTCCTCCTCTGAGCCTCTAGCCTTCTAGAATATCTGAACTAGACAGAGACCGGACGTACAAATGGGGAACTGAAGCCCAGAGACTGTAAGGAAGGTTCTGCTTTCACACAGGTGGAGGCTGGGCTGGGAGAGATGTTGGATGAGTCAGTTAAAGATTTTGCCATGGTTTCCTACCATATTTAGGGCAAAATCTACATTCCATCCTGAGGTCTGCAAGACTGTAGAGCATCAGCACCTGGCCCTTGCCTACCTCCCTGACCTCACCCCTCACCACTCTCCTCTTGGCCACCACGCTCTAGCCACTCCAGCCTTCTTTTAGTTTCTCAGATGTGCCACGTCCTACTAGGGGTCTTGTGGATATGCTGTTCCCTCTTCCCAGAACCCTCCTTCCCCTGATTCTTTGCAAGCCTAGCTCCTTCTCACCCTTCAGGTCTTAGCTTAATGGTCACCTCCTCAGAGAAGTCCTCCATGATTTCCCAAGGAAGGCGCCCCTTATATCCATTGATAATCTTTGCTATGTTTCTTTCAGAGCACTAACCCTGGTTTCAATTTACTCACTTACTTATTTGTGTATTTCTGTTGTCTATTCCCCCACAACCCACCAAGATAAACTTATACCCATGAGGTCCAGAGTCATGTCTATTTGACCCGTCACTACATTCCAGGCATCCAGCCCAGTGCGTGGCATTTAGTAGGTGCTCAATACATTTTGAAGAAGGAATGAACAGGGCAAGTGTGAGGAGTAGTAAGACCACTCTGGGAGAAGAGGGGAGAGATGAGATCTCGGCTTTGACACAGGTTTCTGAGGTCCCAACCCTGGAGTTGGGACCCAGGACTGTCTAGTCGAGCAGTTCATGCCAGTGGTGGAAGCCTGGTTGACCATGTCTCCCCACTGGGACAGAACTCCGTCCTCACCTGGGGAATTGGCATTGCTCAGGCTGGGACGAAGAAGCCAGCCTTATCCTAAGGAGGGGAAGTGAACATGGGGAAGATGAGGGAGAGGCTGTTATGTTGTCCATAAACAGAATATTAACCAGTTCTGAGTGATTACTGTCGCCTGCCTGATGCCAGGGTAGGAGTTGACTACCAGGGGTTCTATTTTTTTGTCTTCCCACTTTGCATCTATAAATATCAGCATTTTCATTAGGATCATTATAAATCATCCTTCTGTCGAAGGCTCAGCCGCCAATTCCTCGTGAATAAACAGTCCTTCACAGGTTAATGGCCCATTGAGGGGCTGAGGTCCCACACAGGTAGGGAGATGTTCACTCAGATGATGAGGCTCCTGCAGCAGGTTTAGATCTTGGTTCAGCCCCTTCAGCTTTCAGACAGAGAAACTGAGGCCCATGGAGGGGATGAACTCTCCTCTCCCCGCCACATTCTGGACTCTGTCCCTTGGCCCGTTGCCACAGCTGCCCACCTGGCCTCTCTCTGATGCCCCAGCTGTCTTCTAAACCATTACGAAATGTACCTTCTCAAGGCATAACCCCTGCTCAAGAGCATTCCATGGCTCCCCACTGCCATGGAATTGCCATTTCCTTTCATGCCATTTCATTGCTATAAAATCCAACCCTGTTTCTGTGGCATTCAGATGAGCCCTCTTGAAAACTGACCTCAACCCACTAATGAAGCCACTCTCCCACTAGTTTGCCTGGATACAGTGATGCTTACTGGGGACAGTTAAGAGCTGGACTTGAGAGCCTGAGACCTGGGATTGAATTTCTGTTAGAAGCTGCCTTAGCCTCAGGTGAGTTAACTTGGATCATTTCTCTGAGCCTCAGCTTCTTCCTCCAAACATTAGGATAATAATGGGATGGCACTTTGAAGCAGGAGTGCCTATAAAGCACAGCCCTGTAGGTGTGGACACACAGTAGGTGCTCAGCGCACCAGTGCCTGTGACCATCTCCGCCAGTTCTTAGCAGGTGGACGCGAGCACACACCTCACACTCCCTGCCGCTCCAGTCTGGGCCCCTCAACCTGAACTACCCTCCCTTCCTTCTCCTGCATCTTCACCAGTTCAAATGCTGCTCCTTCTCCAAGGTCACCTCCTCTAGGAAGCCCTCCTTGGTTCCCTCCCCTCCAAGCAGTGTATCAGGCCCTTGTTTTAACAACATTTACCACTGACTGTCTTATTTATCCTTGCTATCTACCATGTTATCCCCTCAAGGACCAGTCCTAATCAGTCCCATTCTACTCACCAGGCTTTGCCTCTAGTAGGAGCTCACAATAAAAGTGATAACTGGCATCGCCTAAGTCCTTACTGTGTGCCAGGCACTGTGCCAAGAACTTTGCATGGGTGAGCTCACCTCAGCCTCATAATGACTCTAAGAGGTATGAGGATCTATTATTAGTCTCATTTTACGGATAAAATTAATGAGGCCCACAGAGGGGAAGGTGGCTTGCCCAAGCTCACACAGCTAGGATGTGGCAGCACAAGGTTCAAACCCAGACTCTGCAGCCTAAGCGCATCTATCAACTAAAGCAACACACCAGGCACAGGAGCCCGAGACCCCCTCCCCATGAGCATCCAGGTCCA